AGGCATGTAGCATGTAGTGTAGGCAGCATGTAGCATGTAGTGTAGGTAGCATGTAGTGTAGGTAGCATGTAGTGTAGGTAGTATGCATGTAGTGTAGGCAGCATGTAGTGTAGGCAGCATGTAGTGTAGGTGGCATGTAGTGTAGGCAGCATGTAGTGTAGGCAGCATGTAGTGTAGGTAGCATGTAGCAGGCAGCATGTAGTGTAGGTAGCATGTAGTGTAGGCAGCATGTAGTGTAGGTATAGTGTAGTGCATGTAGTGTAGGTAGCATGTAGTGTAGGCAGCATGTAGTGTAGGCAAGGCAGCATGTAGTGTAGGGTAGTGCAGGTAGCATGTAGTGTAGGCGGCATGTAGTGTAGGCAGCATGTAGTGTAGGTAGCATGTAGTGTAGGCAGCATAGGTAGCATGTAGTGTAGGTAGCATGTAGTGTAGGTAGCATGTAGTGTAGGTTGCATGTAGTGTAGGTAGCATGTAGTGTAGGCAGCATGTAGTGTAGGTTGCATGTAGTGTAGGCAGCATGTAGTGTAGGCAGCATGTAGTGTAGGTAGCATGTAGTGTAGGTAGCATGTAGTGTAGGCAGCATGTAGTGTAGGTTGCATGTAGTGTAGGTAGCATGTAGTGTAGGCAGCATGTAGTGTAGGTAGCATGTAGTGTAGGCAGCATGTAGTGTAGGCAGCACTGTGTTCTGACAAGCATAAGTAATAGTTGTGTGGAAAAAAGGTCATTAAGCAGGGCACCAGATAATTTTTCAACATCCGGAGTACGTACTCCTTATTTTTTGCAATATAGGAGTACTGGAAAAACTTCTGACCAACCTAACAGTAATCAGAGCCAACCAGGATTCAAACCCATCCGTGTGCCCAAATATGGAACTCAACACAGCTCATTGGGGGCCACCCATGCTCCAGGATGTAATTAAAAATTCAGTTCCAATGATTCATGCACTACACAGGATCTGGGATGTAGTCTGAAATTAGGACTTGTGTTAAAATGCTGTAAAATCTTCAAGTGAAACACAAATTCAATTTTCAGATGGTAATCTGGAAAGATGCTTTGAGTTATTTTTACAGCTATAAGCTGTAAACCTACTGGTGTCCACCTTCATTACAAGTCTATATAGAAATTAAGAAGTTGGACATGCATATCACATGGAATATTTTCTTATTCGTCCACTCGTCTACGAAGGGCAAAAAATGTAACTGAAACACTAGCAGATACGACAAACAAGTTGTTTTTAATAATATTCCTTGTTAAACTTTCATAACAAAAATGAAACACACTGTTTCCACTCTTTAATAATTAGTATAATGTCAGCAAAAAGCTGAAACATTTCCAAACCTAGAGTAGCCAATTAAAGCAGTAATGTACAGGCGTGTGGGTGATGACAGGAGCCAAAGTAACAACAGTATGGAGGAAACATGCTCTTGGCTGTAGGGTAAGAACACTGATACACTGAACAGGTAACAACAGTGTGGAGGAAACATGCTCTTGACTGTAGGGTAAGAACACTGATACACTGAACAGGTAACAACAGTGTGGAGGAGACATGCTCTTGGCTGTAGGGTAAGAACACTGATACACTGAACAGGTAACAACAGTGTGGAGGAGACATGCTCTTGGCTGTAGGGTAAGAACACTGATACACTGAACAGGTAACAACAGTGTGGAGGAAACATGCTCTTGGCTGTAGGGTAAGAACACTGATACACTGAACAGGTAACAACAGTGTGGAGGAAACATGCTCTTGGCTGTAGGGTAAGAACACTGATACACTGAACAGGTAACAACAGTGTGGAGGAAACATGCTCTTGACTGTAGGGTAAGAACACTGATACACTGAACAGGTAACAACAGTGTGGAGGAAACATGCTCTTGGCTGTAGGGTAAGAACACTGATACACTGAACAGGTAACAACAGTGTGGAGGAAACATGCTCTTGACTGTAGGGTAAGAACACTGATACACTGAACAGGTAACAACAGTGTGGAGAAACATGCTCTTGGCTGTAGGATAAGAACACTGATACAGATACACTGAACAGCTAACAACAGTGTGGAGGAAACATGCTCTTGACTGTAGGGTAAGAACACTGATACACTGAACAGCTAACAACAGTGTGGAGGAAACATGCTCTTGACTGTAGGGTAAGAACACTGATACACTAAACAGCTAACAACAGTGTGGAGGAAACATGCTCTTGACTGTAGGGTAAGAACACTGATACACTAAACAGCTAACAACAGTGTGGAGGAAACATGCTCTTGACTGTAGGGTAAGAACACTGATACACTAAACAGGTAACAACAGTGTGGAGGACATGCTCTTGACTGTAGGGTAAGAACACTGATACACTGAACAGGTAACAACAGTGTGGAGGAAACATGCTCTTGGCTGTAGGGTAAGAACACTGATACACTGAACAGGTAACAACAGTGTGGAGGAAACATGCTCTTGGCTGTAGGGTAAGAACACTGATACACTGAACAGGTAACAACAGTGTGGAGGAAACATGCTCTTGGCTGTAGGGTAAGAACACTGATACACTGAACAGAACCACTGGTGATGAAGTCATTACTGGCACCCTCTACCTCCATCTAACACACACACGACCCCACGCCCCCTCACCCAAAGCAAGTGGCTCCAATCCCCCATCTACAGGTGGCTGGTGAGCTTGCTGGGATCAAGGCAGTATCACAGAACCAAGATTAGAAGACCTTCCTTGATCTCCCCTTTGGATAGCTAATAGCCTTTGATCCTTTCATGCCATGAGGAGTTCACCTTGTTGTAAAGGGGAGTTTGAGTGGATATTTCATTAAACCAGGATGAGCTGTGTTTAATACTCTCGGGATATTTCAAATATTGTATTTACAAATACATCGGAAATCAATTAGAACACGCCATCTTTATTTATTAGTTTAATATTTTTAATATTTTTATTGCAATGATTTAACCACTCAGATTAACCAGATACTCAGCCTTTATTGTGAGAATAAATATTTATGTCTATTGACTACTTTGTTAAAATAGCCAATCCTTTCCTTTTGTCACTTACACCTCCATCAAGGCACTAAGATTTGACTCAAAACAACATAACAAATGTTCAGTATAACAAAAGTGGCACTTTACATAGAGAATTGCGAAAAAATAGGAAATATAATCATAGCCAGCCTTTTCACCAAACTTCTGGCAATCTTTGTGTGGTTAGGCTAGTCTGTCTCCCAGACCCTACAGAATAAATTAAATAGTGGGACCCACTCAAGTCTAGAATGATTTGACAACTCTAGATTGCCTCAGTGCCAGTTGAAATTCAGGACTGTTCTGAGCTCCATTTGGATTTGTTTTGAGTAAATATATTTTTCATATTTTTTAATGATAACTCTGGGACTAGATGTCAGTCTATGATAAGGCCTGCCACCTACAAGGCAGTTACATAACCCAATGTTTTCAATACACACACATTGATACTTTCACCACCCACTGTCTAGTCAGTTACAGCCATAGAATACATAACACTGACCAGTCACGTAATCACAGCGATGTAATAACAAGTGTCGAGTTACATCAACACTCAGTCATCAATCAACAAAAATGTCAGACAATTACACCACAGATTGCCATGGACCAGTGTCAAGACTTCATAAACTAATTTGTTTTTATTGCTATCTGAATGTTATTGATAATATATCATTAGCATGTACCAAAGGATTTACCTGGGATTCCAAACCAAATGCTCTTGGCTGGTCAAACTGATTGGTTGAATGTTTTGGTGTTTTCCTTTCAGTTCTCAACATTCCAAATTAAGAACTATTTTGGCATTATCTTTAACACCGCAACCAATGCAAGGATCTGTTTGGTTGGCATTATCTTTAACACCGTAACCAATGCAAGGATCTGTTTGGTTGGCATTATCTTTAACACCGCAACCAATGCAAGGATCTGTTTGGTTGGCATTATCTTTAACACCGCAACCAATGCAAGGATCTGTTTGGTTGGCATTATCTTTTAACACCGCAACCAATGCAAGGATCTGTTTGGTTGGCATTATCTTCAACACCGTAACAAATGCAAGGATCTGTTTGGTTGGCATTATCTTTAACACCGCAACCAATGCAAGGATCTGTTTGGTTGGCATTATCTTTAACACCGCAACCAATGCAAGGATCTGTTTGGTTGGCATTATCTTCAACACCGTAACAAATGCAAGGATCTGTTTGGTTGGCATTATCTTTAACACCGTAACAAATGCAAGGATATGTTTGGTTGGCATTATCTTTAACACCGCAACCAATGCAGGGATCTGTTTGGTTGGCATTATCTTCAACACCGTAACAAATGCAAGGATCTGTTTGGTTGGCATTATCTTTAACACCGTAACCAATGCAAGGATATGTTTGGTTGGCATTATCTTTAACACCGCAACCAATGCAGGGTCTGTTTGGTTGGTATTATCTTTAACACCGTAACCAATGCAAGGATCTGTTTGGTTGGCATTATCTTCAACACCGCAATCAATGCAAGGATCTGTTTGGTTGGCATTATCTTTAACACCGCAACCAATGCAAGGATCTGTTTGGTTGGCATTTAAGAACTGCATAAGTAACAGTATAAGTAATATATTTCCAAGGATAACAACTTTTCTATTCTATTTTGAAGTCACAGTTCAGTGCATATCATTCCGTATACAGTTGACTAGGTATACGAATCTCCACGGAAATGTCATATCATTCCGTATACAGTTGACTAGGTATAAGAATCTCCAAGGAAATGTCACATCATAATCAAAAGCCTTAAATACAAGAATGTTTGGCTCCTTTCCTCATGAAGACATCAACTTGCATTGTAGGACCTTTCTAACATAAATTCTTTAAAAATCACCTGAAATTATTCAAAGAAAAATTATTAATAACAATGCCACAAAAGTGTTATTATTACATATGACACTTAACATGTAATACGATGTATATCTAATGCAAGCTTGGCTCTAATACAGCATTACTCACCTGAGAAAGATAGTAATACTCTTCTGGTTTGGATAAGAACAGTGAGTCCCTCTCATTCTTGTCTGCGCCCGCAAGTAAATAGTAAAACACGTGGTAGTTTCTGTAATAAACACAACATGGATTAGACATTACCCATAACTCATGACCAACTGACACCACAGAATACAATACATACACAATACATTCAACTTCAACCACTTGGCCACCACCACCCATGTACTTTTACTACGAAAGTGCAATCCCGAACATCACACTTGTTACATTTCACCACTCTCTAAAAGGCACTGTGTATTTACTCCATCCACAGTTTATATTTGCAGTTTATACTGACTCAAAGATAAAGCAAAACAATTATTCTCAATAACTGCCTGTGATATTATTATTTGGGTGAGTGAGTGAGTGAGAACATTTTTTAGCTCTCCAAGTAACTGGGATATTCTGCCCTGCAATCAAACAATCCTGCTCAGTGGTGCAGACAGACACTGATAACTGAAGTAACTTCCCTAACTGGGATATTCTGCCCTGGACATTCATTTATGGCTGCACTGCCATCCTAAACAATCCTGCTCAGTGGTGCAGACAGACACTGATAACTGAAGTAACTTCCCTAACTGGGATATTCTGCCCTGGACATTCGTTTATGGCTGCACTGCCATCCTAAACAATCCTGCTCAGTGGTGCAGACAGACACTGACAACTGAAGTAACTTCCCTAACGGATATTCTGCCCCGGACATTCGTTTATGGCTGCACTGCCTTCCTAAACAATCCTGCTCAGTGGTGCAGACAGACACTGATAACTGAAGTAACTTCCCTAACTGGGATATTCTGCCCTGGACATTCATTTATGGCTGCACTGCCATCCTAAACAATCCTGCTCAGTGGTGCAGACAGACACTGATAACTGAAGTAACTTCCCTAACTGGGATATTCTGCCCTGGACACTCATTTATGGCTGCACTGCCATCCTAAACAATCCTGCTCAGTGGTGCAGTCAGACATAGTCTCTCGTACAGACCCTGAAGCAAATATATCCAAGAAAGTCCACGTAAGTCTAGAAAATGTGGCAAGTCTAGATTTCCTCAGGGCTCCTTTTCATTATATTATATTTTTCTTTACTATGAACATTTTTCAGTAAAATATGTTCATTTCAGAGACTAGTTGTTAGTCTAAGTCAGACACTGACAACTGAAGTAACTTCCCTAACTGGGATATTCTGCCCCGGACATTCATTTATGGCTGCACTGCCATCCTAAACAATCCTGCTCAGTGGTGCAGTCAGACACTGACAACTGAAGTAACTTCCCTAACTGGGATATTCTGCCCTGGACATTCGTTTATGGCTGCACTGCCATCCTAAACAATCCTGCTCAGTGGTGCAGTCAGACACTGACAACTGAAGTAACTTCCCTAACTGGGGCAGTGACTGACAAGCAATATATATGGGTTTTCATGTGTAAAACATTCATTCCTTTTTCTCCATGATTCATCTGAATCTCTTCCAATCGTTTCCCTGTCCCAATTTCAATAGTATGTTCAAGCAAGTCAAAATCAATATTATATGACTGGCCAACACAGACAATCAATATTCAAACTTAAAGCAAAGAATGTATTCTCCATGTTCTATTGACTCTTTTCACGCTGAGAAAATTCCCAACACCTCTATTCAAAAGGAAAACCTAGCACCAATATTGTGCTGGTCAATAACTAGTAAGAGCCTGATCCAAGCAAACCCAATCCCAAAATCAGTCCCGAAACAGCTTGCTGGTAAATAACAGAGGACATGCTGCACTCAGCTACCTGAGTACTGTCTCAACCAACACCAACTACAGTAGCCTGGGTAGTACAGAAACATACCCACTGCACTCTCTCATCTCACCCTATCTTGGTCAGGGGCAGCTATTTCCCCATCACTATAATGAAGTTTGAAAAGCAAGTGTTGGGAGTTGTGTCTGAAGGGCTCCTGTCAGTGGTCTGCTACTCCTCACAGGGTGTACACACTGACTACAGACTTTGTGCTGTGACTTCCCTGTGAGGAGCTGTTCACTGGCTAAGTACACATCATGAGATCCAAGGGTGGAGTTTCCTTTTTCTTTGTAAACTTGGAAACCTTTAACATTTATTATTTTATCAAGCTATACAAAGGTTGTAGAGTGTTGTGTACATGTTCAAACAAGTTCAAAAACATTTATTTAGAAACTAATTAGTATCAATATACCTTAAAACGTGCTCACTGTTCAAAATACAAGATACTGGTACATGACTTTTTTATTGTACAAGTGTTCCATGCAGAAACTAGTCCGTACTGGGCAGATACATTACTCATCTTATCTGTGAAAAGCGTATTGTCAGACTATAAGTTTACAAAATTCATGTATTTCCCAGCTAATAACTTGTATATACATTTGAAAACAGCCTGCCACAAATCAACCACATGCTGAGAAATTGAGAGAAAAACTCAAAACTAAAAGACATATACTGTAAACATTGCATCTCCAGTCAGCCTGAGGATGAACACTAGATAAATGCTTATTCTCTGGAGAATTATTATGATTTTAATATTATTATTTTGATAGTAACAAACAAACCAAATTATTTAAAATGGAGCCCCAGGAGGACCAGGGATTCAGAACCTGAACCTGAGGAAATCTAGACTTGCTTTATTTAGGGCTTTAGCATTGCAGAGAGCTCTATGCAGCAGGAAAATAATGTGGTTCAGGGACCTTGAGACTTGATGAACACCTTTACCTGCCGATCTGCCCTTTCTAAAATACAGAAAGATAATTGCCTTCTAATTACAATGGAAAAATAGTCATATTGAAAATCTGAAGACATTAACTCTTCCAACACCAGTCAACCAGAGGCATTTACTGCCATGATATATATGACACAGTGTTCCCAGAGACTCTGAGGTCATAGATGAAGCCTATGTTTATCAAGGAAAATATCAGCTTGTAAAACACTATTGCTACTACATATCATACATCATTTGAAAGGTCCAATCCTACTGTTTATAAATATGAAATTTATATTTTATCATGTTATTCAAATAATACAACCACAACATAAATAAGTTAATATTTAATGAAAATGCAAGCTTACACATTTATAATGTCCAGTTATAAACCTATGGCCAATTTTGTCTATTGTTCTCGCAGTTGCTTCGCATTATGGAATAACCTCGGTAGAGGTTTTACGATTGCAGGAGGTTTTACAATGATCATTGTAATACCTCGCAGGAGGTTTTACAATGACCGTTGTAATACCTCATACGAGGTACGAAGTTTTACAATGGTCGTTGTAAAACCTCATACCCTGATGACTGATCGTAAAATATCGAATTATTGAAAACTTCCAATATTCTTTGGCCATAACTGGTTTCGAATCCGCAACCCATCGCTCTCTAGCTTGGCGGTTTTATCCACTCGCCACTGAAGGATCGCTGTGATGAATGAGATTGTTTGTCAGTATGAACCATGTGTTTCTCACCACGACAGGTACTGTGGGCAATGCGTGCAGAACATCGGGTATTGGCGATGCAGGAGGACACGGAGGCGCGTATGAGGCAAGGTGTTGGCTGCCAGTCGCATCCCAGTTGAGACCGGCTGTTCCATCATTTCGCGGGCTGTTCCATGAATGTTGTTCTACTCAGTACATGCACAAATTGAAAATAAGTGTTGTCTTAGGCGGTTTATAAGTAAGATAAAACACTCCTCCTCGGTTTTGGTGGAGATTGTAAAACCTCAGTGTCAGGAAATCCCTCGATGCTTAGCGCGCCTGGATTTCCTTCCCTGAGGTTTTACAATCTCCACCAAAACCTCGAATCGTGTTTTTATCCTATACATAAACCATGAAGGGAACAAAAAGGATGTAACAATGTAACAAACAAAACAACATATTATTATGTTGTTTTCTTTGTTACATTGTTACATCCGGTATATATATACTCCCCCTTCTTCATGTCCCATTATGCTTGACAACGGTACAATAATCTGTATCGAAACGTCGCACTCACGAATAAAAGAAGTTGTTATCCATAAAGTTTGTTCTATATTGTACTTCCCAACTTCTAAAATGCCACTCAAAGACTGACTGAGTTTAGTTTTATGCCACTTTTAGCAATATTCCAGCAATATCACGGCGGGGGACACCAGAAATGGGCTTAAGCCACTCAAAGAAGTTAGGTTATGACCTGTGACAAAAATGCTTAATGCATATATTTTAGCATCAAACATCGTGTCCAAGCCCTAAGTTCGAAGCAACAAAAGCCGAGATGTCACTTGAATTACATAACACAATCGCACAAAAAAGATAGAAATAGTAAGTTGTTATGTACGTTTGACAACTTTTATGAGTAAAGTTATTGATTTTATGTTAAGACTACAGAATACCGGATACCTTCCGCCATCTTTGAAAGCATGCGAGCTTACTTAGGGTTAGGGTTAGGGTTAGCATTAGGGTTAGGGTTAGGGTTAGGGTTAGAGTGACGTGACACTAAACAATATAGCTGGTAGGTATCCGGTATTCTGTAGGTGTACCGATTTTATTCTTCAGTTTATTCAATTTGTTTAATTATTATCTCTAAACATCGTTACTTTGCTCTTTGACAACTTTGATGTGGACCCGTTGCCGAAGCATGTGTCCGAGAATATTTTTTTTTCAAAAACATTGCGAAAAATAGTTTATAATTCTAATTCTGTCAATAATATATGATTACTTGAAATGTAATAAGTGTTTTCAAACATTGTGAAAAGTGATAGATTTAATAATGAATCATACGTTAGTTAGGCTCCTAAAATTATATACCATGTTGATGGGACTACTGCCTGGCCAGTTTTCCGGCCTACAGTGTTGAATGAGTTAATAACCCCTAGAGCAACTCAGGCTTAATGTTCATGCATCTGTTATTTCCAAAACAACCTCAAATGTTCATAAAAGACAACCCTCTCCTCTCAGCTGAATTCCTAATTACATTTTGAAAGACATTATGGTCTATAAGCTTATCTTTGTGTTAAAACAAGCATTATAAACTATTGTTTGCTGATAATTGTTTGGAGAAATATTCGACAGTATGCACACGAAAAATATCTCTATATATCTA